ACTTCCTCCGCGGAGCGGGGCAGCGGGTCCGGGCTCCGCAGCACCGCGGGGGACGCACGGACAGAGCCCCGGTTCGCTCTCTCTGGAGCACGGAGGCCCACGTGGAAACGGAAAAGGCAGCGGCTGAGCAAAGGTCCCGTTGTCCCCGGGGCTTTAAAACCCGCTGCCTGCACTGAGAGGGCCCGTTTCATCCACACGCGCTGTTTCTACAGCTCCAAACCCACGCTCCTCAGTTAACAACAGGAAGGCAGGTTGTTAACCGAAGTTGTGTAAGTGAGGTGGGAGAAACCAGTAGCAGAGGAACCGAGTTCAGGCAAGAACGAGAGCACACAGCACGTACAGAGGGAAAACTTCATTGGAACTTGTTTACAAAATTGACAAAAATAAAGTAGCACCTTGTAAACTCATTCACAGTCGTTTGGAGCTCACAGAACTGGTTCTGTTGTCATGCTGGAATAGGGATTGTCAAAGCCTCAGCTCACCCTGGCTGACGTCCGAGTGAGTTGCCCTGCAAGGGCCATGGCTTGTAGCAGACATGGAAGGAGTGGAGGAAAAGACGGGGTTTGTAAAGTGCCGCAGCAGAGCAGGACCCTGTTCCTAAGCAAAACCATTCAGAGGAAGAGGGAGGAGAGGCAGGAGCAGCAAGATGCAGTTTTTACACAAACCCCAAGCACTTTCCAAAAGAGCCAACTTTTGCCGTGAAATCCACCTTTCCAAGCTCCAAGACAGCAGCTCTCCCCTGCTCTAAACCACCTCATCAGCTACAGAAGGACAAAATGGAAGTAAACTGAAAACATGCTTGGAAACACTTTTTTTGGTAACTGCTGCTTCTGGTTTCACTCTCAAACCGGCACATTTCAGAAGTGGAAGCAGACAAAACATCAGCATTTCCAACAGCCACACATTTCAACATGGTCAGATCACAAAAGCAGTAGATTTGAACAAGAAAAGGAACAAACCTTGTCAGCTGTATTCTGGAGAACGACCCAGCTTAACACACACCCAGCAAGGAAAACACCCTTTAAATCCAAGCAGGAGCCTGACTGCTCTGGGAGTCTTGGCAAAGCTCCTCTCCACAGCAGCGGGATCCAGCACAACCGGTATAATGGAGTTAACAGTGCTAAACCAAGGAGTAGCTTTGGTGCAGCATCGCCTCCCTGCTCGCCCTGGGCAGAAGCCCAGCACTGGGGACTGCAGCAGACAAACAGTCCCAAACGTTAAAGCAATCACAGTTAACAGAAGTTCTTCGCTTTCTGGACCAACCCAGGCTGCTTCCAAAAGCGTTTTAACAAGTAGGAGTAATAGATTAAAAGTTACGGGGGGAAAAAGCTGAACATGAAGAGCAGTTGGGTTCTCAGTCTCCAGCCCATGGGTGCAACAAGAGCTTAAAACCCTGCATCCAACCTGCGTGAACACCACCAACAGCCATCAAAGACACCAGGTACACCCCTGCCAGTGTCACCTGGGATTCCATCCAGCCATCCCACCGCTCCGACAGCTCCTCGGCGCCGCTCCCAGCTGAGGAAAACCAAAAGTTCGGCATCAAGAATTCCACAAAGTGGTTTGTGCAAATTTTTTTTATTTCCACATTTATATCACAATGTGTCCACTTAAAGGACCAAATAGCAAAGTTGCTCCCTTCTGCATCCCAGGAACACAGAAGTCTGGTTACTGTACATTCACTAAGGCTCTTTGTTTTTGCAAATTGCGTTTATGATGGATATCCATAAGGCAAACAATATCTAAAGGAATGGTAACAAGTATATTTCCAGCATACAAACAGGCTTCCTTTTTCCCTCTCACAGTACAGTTACAAACTTGTAGCACCCTCATTACATTTAGATTCTAGAAAAGGTGATTTTTCTTTTTCTTTTTTTTATATCTTTTTTTTGCCTTTTTTTTTAAATTTTTTTTGCTTTTTTTTTTTTTTCTCTTTTTCCTGGAAGTTTGCAGGAAGGGAAAAGGAGGAAAAATATTTGGCTGGTGGTGGTGGGATCAAAAATATCATTCAACATCTAGTTTTTGCAGCATTTCTCAGAGACTGGATTTAAACTGAAACCAGACTAAAATATGTGGATGCCTATGGAATGTTGAGCTGAAGCTGGGCTCCCAGCCTGCAGTGCAACACCTGCTGTTTAAAACCCAATCTCCGTACCACATGACTTGGAAAAACCAAACCCCCCCCCCAACGCAATCATGTTCAGAGATGTGACAGAAATAAAACTACAGTTTTTGCACATTGTCTCTCCAATATCTCACTGCCAAATAAAAACCCAAATCAAGTCAAATAAATAGATGCATATTTTTGTTAAGGTAACTTCCACAATTTTCTCTGTACCTGCCTGTAATCAGATTCCGGCATTCAGAAAGTGCTGGAAATCCTCTTCCTTCTCGGGGACTAACACTTTTTTATAGCTGGCTTGCTATAAAGAGTTTTGAACTCAGTGGATCAACCTCCGTATGCCTTCCTTTGCAATTGTTAGTAAACTGGTAGCAGCATTTCACAAAAGGAGAATTTAAAGGACAGAGCTGGATGGAACCAGCTCCCTCCCACCCTCTGCTCGTTGGGCCTGTTTGTTCAGGACAGGAGCTTTCTCCATCTGGAAGTGGCATCGTGTCTGCCCGTTTTTCTAACTGCAGATGTAAAAAGCATGGTTTGTGTTTAGCAAACCTGGAACTCAGTCTAGGCAGACGTAAGGCAGGATGTTCAATCTACCATCATCCCCGTGTGGATCTAAAGATATGCACTGTGTCCAATCATACCAGTTACCCTGTGTGTCGTAACAACCGTTCACGCCTGGCCAGTGATGTTCACATATTCTGTCGAGGTCATCACTTGTGACCTCCCTCGTAACCCCAGGCAAGTCTGTAGGTTTGCTGTTAGGAGCTAGAACATGAGTCTTTCTAGCCTCTTTTCTAGTGCTTTCCTCCTGCTTTAAATACTCAGACATGAAGTAGTGAGCTCCTGGAGTCTGTACTCCCGATGAAGACAGCAAGCTACTCTGCCTGTTTAAATATGACTGAATGATTTCATTTCTGGATAACTCTTTCCAGTTCGTTTGTTCAAAAGGGCTTTGCAGGTTGGGTTTTTGCTCCTGCTTTTCCGTTTCTGTCCTGTGCTGTTCGGTAAGCGCAGGGATTTCTACCTGCAAAGGATCTTTCTGTGTTAAAGGTTTTATCTGTCCTGTCATGGGATCAAAAGTGAGCTTTCTCTCTTTTAACCTCACAGGTTTCACACCCCCTTCTGTCACGTGCCCATCCAAGTTGACGGTATAGTCTCTGGGTCGGTACCTTTTCTTCTTTTTGCTATCGGAACCTGAAGCAGCATCATCGCTGTCCATTTTGGAAGCGTCCTGTGAAAAGCCTGTGTGTGGCGGGAGAGATTCCCCAGGGTTGGAGCTGGTTTTGCAGCTGGGAGATGTGTGCTGTTGGAGGGTCCCTGCTGGGTGCCTGTGCTGGCTTTCCGAAGGTACCTGCTGCTCCGGCCAGTGCTGAGACACCTCAGCTACCGCCTGCTGAGAGAACTCCAGTCTTTTCGCTGGCAAGGGAGGTGTTGAAGGTTGCATCAAGGATGGTGGTGGCGATGGCACCTGTGCAGTATCTAAGAACTGAGACCTTTGAGATGGACTGGGCATCGAATCCTTTGGTGAGTACGTCGTATGCTGCCGAGCAAAAGTATCATGCCTGACATTTCTAGGGCTAAAGGAGGAACAGCGAGGACTCTTGGGCTGGTGCGGTCCTGTGGTTTCTTCTGATTTCTCATGCTGCTGAAGCACTGCAGTCTTTAATAACGAGGAAGTGCTTGAAGGTTTTACAAGTCCTGGAGAACTGGTGTGAGGTTTTACAGCGTTTACTGGGATCTTACTGTGTTTATCATTTTCACTGAGTTCTGTCCTACTGCTTTCGGGCCCTGCGTGGAGGTTTACATCTACGGGACTAGGAAAATTTTCAGGACTGCCTCCAATTCCATTGGTTGGAGGGGGCGAAGAGTTTTGTAATACTTCATGACTAGCTTTGGAGACTTTTGGGGGAGGAGGGCCCTGATGCCCGTCCCTGTGTTCACCTTTCCTTTTCCGATTCCCTAATTTCTCTGTTTTGGGAGAATTTAGTTTCTGGATATCATTCCGGGTTTCGATCCAGCCACTGCGGGAAGTTGCGCTTCTGCTTTGCAGTTGTGAGCACCACCGTTTGCTGACCCGGGTGGGTTCGGCAGCCCCCTCGGCACCGCTTCAGTCTGGGTTACAGGTTCTATCAACTTCTGCCAATTCCGCAGCAACTTCTTGGCACGTTTGGCAAGTTCCTCATTGGATGTCTTCTTCCTCACCTCATTGATAAGCCTCCCAAGTCTTGTTTCCTATAAAGAAAGAAAAGCTTTTACAACCAGGTATCATTCTGAACGACATCCTTAAGGCACATTTCTGCTCTGTAATGTTTCTCCTCGGAAATACCAAGTTAAACCCCACTAAATACTCAAGTGTTGAATTGAGCTTTTTGGAAAGGATTAGTCCGGTTGGTCCAGTGCTCTGCCACACCATGTGAAACCCAGTGGAGGTTTCAAGTCATCCTGTCTTTATTCCCTGGCTGAAGCACCAGAGCCATGGGCTGTGAAAAACATCGGAAAGGAATTCTTTAATCCACAAGAATCAGGAGAATAAAGATGCAAGCTCAGATCTGAGGGGAAATGCAGCACCCAAGGCAGAAAAGGTATGTCTAGTCCCAATGAAAATATAAGATCTGCAGAAAGAGGGGAAAGAAAAAGACTCCAGAATCTCCACCCGTTACAGTAGTACATTGACAATAAGTCTCCATGTCACAGACCTGCCCAGCCAGGGCACGACTCACGTTCTACCTTCTTCCTCCATCTCTCCTCTCCCTGCACTCCTCAGTATCTTGAAAACGTATGAAGCCTGATATAAACAAGCATTCCTGGGGTGTCCCAAAGTGGTTCCATAAGCGGAAGGAAGTGAAATGTTTGACTGCTCCCAAAGCACATTTGAAAACAAAGAACTGTTCCACAAGTCAGATTACTTAAGAAAAGCATTTCAAAAGGAAACATCGACCAGGCTGTGAGAGAAATCTGCAACACGCTGTGATGTGTACGTTGAGATACAGCTGGAGTTACAATTAAGCGAGAGTTCAAAACATGTAACACCAGGAATTTTGATAGACTGAAAAAAAATCTGTAATTTAGCCATAAAACCATCTTTGGGCTGTTTCTAGGAGCGGGCACAGCGAGACCGCACGATCCCACCTGAGACTCCAGCTTTTCCCTCTTCTCACCAGCTACATCAGGCATCGAAACCTGCTTGACTGAATCCCAGGTTAATTTCACACCCACAGAGTAACTCTGTTCCTACTTCAGCATCTTTGGTGGTTGGTCAAACATCTAAAAAGGCAGCACTACTTCAGCAAGCAGTGATGTGCCTGAACGCAACAGGATCCACCAGAAGCAAGTGATGATTAATGTAGTGCCCTACATAAACAGGAACTGTGCTGCACAGAATACTGATCCCAACCCAGAAAGAATCACTGTGTATGTGCTGAGAGGTCAGAAGCAGCCCGAGAGGGACAAAATAATATCTTAATTGTAAACCCTTTGCAATCAATCTATTGTTGCAAGAAAAGCTCATATGGAAATTAGACAGGCAAAGAAAGTCCTTTTATACACACAAAAATCAAGTCATGTTTAGAGGGTGACATACCTCAAGTGCCTCTTTGGTAATGGGGTATTTCTCCAGGCTGGAGATCACTTCCAGCACTGCCACCATGTTATGGATCTGCAACAAGGAAGACAAAGTCACTTCATCTTTCATGCACAGGTCTTAGTTATCAAATGTAATTTAAGACCTTCCACTTCATAATTGCTGGAAGCATTAATCACAAAACTGCTATCACACTGTCTGGCTTTAGGGAGCTGATTGTTCAAGGAATAGGGACAAGGACACTTTACTGACCTAGTTGGAAACTGCAGGAACTGTAACACACACACTTTTATGTAAAACTAGAGGAAACATTAGCACTGAAACCAGTGTCACTTGCTTGCAAAGTCTGAGACTCCTATGAGACCCCCAGCCAAAGGATTCATGAATGAATCCCACTGTGACTCCCAAACCCCAGGTCCAAGCGCTCCACATTCCAGAGCAGATGAAGCAAACGCTGCGCCCAGTAGGTGTCCTCAGCCCCCCACCCGGCGCAGGACCAGGCTGGGCCACCTCCAAACCCGGCAGCTCCTGGAGCTGCGTGTCCCCACATGGTGAGGAGCCACCGCGGGTCCCCAGGACATTAAAGCATGTCTCAGGTTGTCTGATGGGCTCCACTGCCACGTCTCTGCACGCACGGGTAAGCGCCGCGCAGAAGCTGCTGCCACAATCTGTACATCTTAAACACAAGTGGGATTTTAGTGATTTCCAGGAGAACCCTCAGGCAACACCGAGATCCAGCCCCATTCCCACTCCCTGATATTAAGAGCATCGAAAAAAGCTACAGTTTCTAATCCACCTTTGTAGACAGATTTAAAAGATAAGCAGAGGAAAACTTGAATCACAGCCTCACTTATTGCTTAATTGCATTTGTGACTCAATTGGATGTGAACTGATCTGAGAAACATCTCTCAGCAAGAACCTCTGCAGGGATCCCACGTTATGCTGAAGTCTCATCAGGAGTGTACTCATGCAGCTCTACCCACCCAGCCACACACTCCACAGCAAGCCTTCATTTTCAGACTGCCAAGTTTGTAAGAATCAGCTTTTCCAAGTCAATTCTACCCCTTTCGATATACAACAAGAGAATTGGGAGCTGAAATCTCCTCTGTGCAGAAAACCTTGTCATGGACAATGTTCTTTCCACTAGAACAGGCTTGCTTAATGTTGGAGAGACTTGGATAAAGCTGTCAGCAATGAAACACTCGGCCTAATTTTTAGATTAACTTTGATCAAACTTAGGTTTAAAGTCCACAGAGGCTTTGAACGATTGTAACTCCTACAGGTTGTAAAGCCAACTTCAGAACAAAGATGAACTCACTTGTCATGGTTCTTTCTTCACCGAACTACAAAGCCTCTGCAGAAATTCAGAGCCCTACCAGCCAGACAGGCCTGGTAAAGCTCCACTTAAGCTTTAGAGCAGCGACAACATGTATTTTGAAACATCTTAGTTCTTACTATTCCACTTCAATGCACTTTCTTCCATGTTTCTTCCTCACACTGCCCTCAATGCCTAGAAAGAACAATTTAGCACCACAGCATAAGTAATACATAACACCATGGGTCTTTTTTCCACTTTCTAGAACCAGAGCACCTGGAATAGTTAATGCTCAATTCTGGGAGTTTCCAGACAAACATTTTTAGACCTGCAAAACATGAGACTCTCCTTCCCAACAGACAGTTTAGTCTACACGTTACCAGGGTGCAAAAGGTTCTGCGCATTGCACAGGGCAGTAACTGGTCCAGTTATTCTGGCAGTTGTTGGTAAGCCCCAAATATTCATTACCTAAATGACAAACTGATGTCAAAAAAGGATTAAGTCTCTCAGAAGGTCAAGATGGGGAAAGTGATACGCTCATGTGGACACACACCTACAGGAAGATGAAACTGGTCAGGGAGTTTCCAGTAGCAGCTTTGCCTTTGCTCAGTACACCCCAATACATGTATACAGGGATGCCCCTGGCTGCTCCATCACCTACGAGGGACCAGGGCTGCACCACAGCTGATAAGACTGTTCCTTCGCCCCTCCTTTGAGGGACACATGGTGCCTATTCAAGCTTTACACCCCCGAGTCTGTGCTCTTCACTCAGCTCCTGGCAGAACACAACCCACCCGCTGCAGATTCTTCACCCAGTGGTAACCAACTGAAAACACATCATCACACTGGAGCAATCACTGCAGAGAGCACCAAGGCTCAGGCTCCAGAGCAGCTGCAAGAAGCTCCTCTCCTTTTCCCCTCTTTTCGACCTGCAGGGAAGCATGGTTCTAAAACAATACCCTGGTCATCAGGCAGGTTCAACTTCTCCACCCTGCCCCAGCAGTTTGTGTTGTTTTCTTGGAATGCTTCATCCAAACTGCCAGAAAGAGCAATAATATAATATTCTATTACATATAAAATTATATAAGTATTACAGATATTATATTCTTATACAATTATATACATTATATCAGTGTTATATTATACTTGTAATAAAAATGATATTCACCCACTTCAAACTAACACAGACCATGAAATTTCCTGTGGTGCAGTTAAACACTATGATGAGAACAAGAAAACCTCCCAAAACACCTCAAGTATCATCTATTCCATGTGAAGACACCTATTTTGTTAACAGCAGCACATGAGTATTGTGCACTAGAATCTGTATCTCAGGAACTTACACATCATTTGAGGTTCTATTTGCCTTTGTCTAGTTCCACCACCTCCCCCCCCTTACTACCACCCCAAAACAAGAACCTCCATGAAGCAACCCCAGGACTCCGCATTTAGCAGCTTGCAGAGAACAGATAAGAACGACTCATATGGTATTTCCAATTATCCCAGGCTATTCCCACTGCCTGGCACACGGACTAATTCACTCGCAAGTTTACTGCAGAACATCTGCTTTGAGTCATGTACGATAATCCTTTCCAGCCAACCCTAATGACAGTCACAGAAAACAAATCTTATTTATTCCATGCAAGCCTCCTTAAGTCATTCAGCCGTACTCTGGAGCTTACTACTGGTATCTGAGATCTTTTCCAAGTGAAGCACTAAGTGTTTTTACTCCAGCCTCAGACAAAAGCATGAGGTTTCTGAACACACTGGAAAAGATCAAGAGGCTTAATTTCCTTTTTTTTAACTGCCACCTTAATCCTATTTTAGCTTTTACAAATCAAGACCAATTCAGTAACTAACTTCAGGGTAAGTGTTCCACAGCAGTTTAAAAGGATAAGTGTGTTGGGGTTGGAGGTTTAAGGTACAGCCCTTCTCTGCCACCTCCTACTGCCTCCTTCCCGGATGATTTGAAAACAGCAGCAACTTGGCACCCCCATGAGCTGGTAGCACCACCCCCACATGCTGGGATGTGTTTTACATCGGACTAGCACACTCGCATGTTAAGCTTTGATTCTCTTCCTTCATCCACAGGTACCAGCCCAGCCACTGATCTCAACGTAACACCTCCTGTTCTTCCTCAGCACAGCACAACCTGCATCTCACCCCACTGCTACTGCAGAAATAACTGGTACAGACACTCAACTGCAGTCGTTTGAATAAAGCAATTTTGGTTTCTTGGTTGGCTTTTTACTGTTTCATAGGGCTGTTTCTGAAGATCTCTGCATGCGTGACTAGACCGTGACAGATCACAAACCAGATCTGAGGTAGCACAGACGATGTTGAGCACCGCACAGGCCTAGAGCAGGAGAAGCTATTTCCTTGTAACTTGAAAACCTGAGCACTAGGTGCACAGTTACAAAAGAAATTGAAGAGAAACTGCTGATACAGCCAGAAATCTGGCTAGAAAGGCTCTTTTTAATCACCTGCATCAAGTTCACAGAACAGCGCTAAAAGGCATCTGTTGACACAGGATCATCACCCATATGGGTCACATTAGTACCTGTAAAGAGTGATTAAACTTGGCCTAGTATGTCTAGAGTCCCTAATCATAGAAACTTGTCTAAAGTGTAACACAACCGTCCTCCCAAAACCACAGGTTGGACTGATCAGGCTGACTCCATTGTAGGCATTTTGAAACAGAGAGTAGAGCTAGATCAGAAGACACTGCCTTTGAGAGAACGGATCTGTCAGCACACTTCGACCCCCTCAGAAGATAGTAAACGCTCATTATTTTGCTAGTTTCAAAGGACTTCTGTAACATTTTCCCACCTGTAATATCAACGCAAGTTTACCAAAGAAAGCAGAGAAGTGCACCCACCATGGAAGACTGACCAGATCTCTCTTTTCTACAGATATGAACCCAAACGTCAACTGCCAAGTTGGGTGTTTTTGTTGGCAGTATCAGGAACGCAGCATGGTCTATACAGAAGGTCACATTTGTATCATTTTTTATTGTCTTCTCCTGCTCCTAAGGACAACGGCATTTTATTGGGTAGTTATAAAACCTGTCAGATATCTATGGGCCACGTAGATCATAGAATGGTATCCTCAGGTGGCAGAGGAAAATCCCAGGTTCAAGGTCAGTATTGCTGGAACTGCCAGGAAGCCAGAGCTGATTCAGAAGGAGGCAGAGCAACAGCACTATGAGCAACGTCATCCACTCACATTTATCTTCCCCAAAGCAGTGATGACCTGCACTGGAGGCACCAATTCCTGCCCCAGGTTGGGGTATCTAAACAGTGCCACATCTTGCCCCCAGCACTGTATTTGTATAAAAGCTGCTTCATTGCATAATAATCCAAAAATTGGAATAAGAAGTAAGAGGAGAAAAGTTGCTATTCATAGTAGGCTTTATTTAAATGCAGCAGTGGAAATACAGCAGCACAGTGTTTATTTAGCACTTCACATAGGATGCTTCAGATACCAGACACTAACAATACAGCTCATGAACAGTAAATCACAATGTCATTTTTGCACAGATACAGACTAAACACACAAAGTTAGAATTCAGGTTACAACCTGCTGGTATTTAGTTCAGTTCCCTTGCAACTGATCTATTAACAGTTTCCCCTCCCCACAGTGTGACATGATGTTGTCTAAAGATAGGGTACACGAGATGCTATTCACAGAAACGACATGCCAAAAAGATGACCATGCACTACTTTGTTCATAGTTATTGAAAAGGTTTGAAAGTCAGTTTAAGTGGAGTTCAAATATTCACCAGTACACAAAAGTT